GCCGACTCCAAGATAATGGCTAAAAAGAGCCAGTGGATATCAGCAGCTTCTTCCAAACTAATGGATGCACGTGAATGCATCCCTGCAGGCTCTGAGTACAATGAAGAGCGAGCGCAACTTAAAAATAAACTGACGAAAAGTCTGCGCAACGATCGTGAACAGTGGTGGGCAGCAAAGGCTAAAGAGATGGAAAAGGCAGCGGCGATCGGTAACAGTAGACAGTTATTTAGACTTATTAAGGAGACTGGGGGGAAATGGTCAACAACAGTTAGTGAGGTTATAGCGGAGAAGGACGGATCGGCGATTCACTCGCAGGGAAGGCGACTGGGACGATGGGCAGAACACTTTGAGGAACAGTTTAACTGGCCTCCAGCCACCATTGCGCTGCCCGCTATCCAGTCGGACCCTGAATGGGACATAGAGACAGGTCCCCCAACACTAGAAGAAGTTGAGAAAGCGGTAGGTAGCCTGAAACGGGAAGGGCAGCAGGACCAGACGGACTACCTGCTGAGGTATACAAGAATGGTGGTAGAGTTCTCTTAGTCAGGCTAACGGAAGTGTTAGCCAGTATATGGGAATCAAATACGATCCCCTCCGACTGGTCTAAGTCACTCATCATCCCAGTCTTCAAGAAAGGCGAGAAGTCCTCTTGTGATAACCACAGAGGAATCAGCCTGACAAACATAGTGTCTAAGATCCTAAGTTCTATAATTCTCCGACGCCTGAGTGGAGCTCGGGAACAGCAAGCCCGAGAAAACCAGGCAGGCTTTAGACCTGGCCGTGGATGTATCGACCAAATATTCACACTGCGCCAGGTCCTGGAACATAGGCATGCTTACAGACGCCCGACAATAGCTGTATTTCTCGACCTGAAGGCGGCATTTGACTCCGTTGATCGAGAAGTCTGTCACTGAAAGGCGTGCCTAGTAAGTACATCACCTTATTGAAAGCTCTCTACTCGAACACTTGTGGGCATGTTAGAGCCTATGGTGAGTTGTCCAGGGAGCTATACTCATCAAGTGGTGTCCGTCAAGGATGCCCACTATCCCCATTCTTATTTAATTTTATCATAGATATTCTTATGGAGGTTTCCCTCTCGTCACCTAATTACAAAGACGTTGACCCGATCACAGGTGAATTTTCCTTAGATCTAGAATATGCAGATGACATAGTCCTGTTAGGTGAAGACGCTGACAAGATGCAGAGTCTTCTGAACACTTTGAGTGGGAATTTGAGAATGTTTGGGATGCGATTTTCACCACCCAAATGCAAATTTTTGCTCCAGGACTGGTCTTCAGCGGTACCGCGGTTAACAATAGAGAGTGAAGTGGTTGAGTGTGTTGACCACTTCACTTACCTGGGAAGTAGGATCAACCCGGTGGGTTAGTTGCCGATGAGATTTCTGCACGGATACAAAAGGCTCGATTGGCTTTTGCCAATTTGCGCCACCTATGGCGCCGCCGTGATATTCGTTTGTCTATTAAGGGTCGCGTGTACTGCACAGCAGTCCGCTCTGTTCTACTGTATGGCTGTGAAACATGGCCATTGAAAGTGGAAGACATGAGAAGGTTACAGGTGTTTGACCACCGTTGCCTTCGTAGTATAGGACGTATTCCGTGGTGTCACCATGTGAGTAATGCAGAAGTTAGGTGTAGAGTTTTAGGGAGAAGAGGTAAGTCAGTCGACGAGGTTGTGAACCTTCATCGACTGAGATGGTTGGGACACGTACTACGTATGCCTAGTCACCGATTGCCTCGTCACACAATGTTGGCTGAGGTGGGTTCAGGCTGGAAAAAGGCCCGAGGTGGCCAGACTAAAACATGGCACCAATGTATGAAGTCTCTGACTGTTGGTTTAAGCCATGTAGGACGATGCAGAACAGGTGGTTGGAGACCCTAGGTGATATGGCTCAGAACCGAAGTCAGTGGCGCAGATGTATACACACATTATCCTCATCTTAACAACGCTATACCGAATCTCACCATTTTGTCACTCCTCTTTCTTTTCTTTTTGTACTTTATATTTCTTTTGACTGCATTCACTTATCTTCATCCTTCACCTCACTACCTTTTACTTGATGTGCTGATATGAGGTGTGGCAACTCGGACCGTTACGCAGTAATGCCTGGTCCTATGTTGATAATGATAATGATGATGATGATCATCTTAACAGATAGCTTGAGAAATTAAATCGAAAGTTTAGCGTAGGAGAATTAATTAATGAGTTGAACCTGAAAGAGTTGGCACGAAAATTTGCTCCAACCTACTTTTGGTAGGAATTTAGATGTCACGGAATTTTTTCCTGACAGAAAAATGGTCTTCTCATTGCCTGGTGGATTGTTACTTGGTATGGATGTATATCTTGGGATCACATGAATTGACGAAGAATACTGATGCTGTACGCAGTTAGGCAGTAGTTAGTTAGTAGAAATTATCAACCACGACAGTAAACGATTAGTGATTACCCATCTTTTTTTCTCTTGGAAACTTAATAATAACCAAATAAAAACGAAATCTTAAATTCGAAGATTTAATTTTTACACAATTAAAGCGTAGAGCAGCTGAACTTTCAGTTCGCCATTTAAACGATATAAAAGTTCATAATTCCAGTGCCACGGAAATATACTGTACGGTACACTAAGCCACTTGATTTGAGAACTCTTCACTACTTAAGTGAACCTTAAAAGGTAGGTCATAATTTCATTGTTTTTAATTCTAATGATACTGTAATTGATTTGTAAAGTATGGTTAGGTGTTTTACTGCTGGAAATTTAAAACATCATTGATTTATGGGACCACTCTAAGTAGTGATTCATTATTACGGTCAAAAGCCTTTGAATCGGGAAAATATTCTGTCAAGTCTCAAAACTTTTCATGGATTATTTGAAAGATACTAGTCTTAACTCATAATTGGATCGGTTCAAGTTGCCATTCACTAATGAGCTTATCTAAGTTTACTTCCACCCTCGAAAAAGAGTTTTATCTCTTGAATACGGTACTGATTGTTACCTCGTAACCTTCCAAGTTTCAGTAAACCCTCCTGATTTTTAGGATATCGGAGTGCTAATCAAATTTACGTAGGTTAACTTTTTGACTTCTCTAATTCTGAGAGGTATGTCGTGCGAGACTCTTAGCGTTTTTGTTCAGCGAAAACGCCAACGTTTATGCGCGAATCGCTTTAAAAGTCCCAGATAATATACGGTTTTCTTGACTACTTTTGTGTTACAATGTTGCTTTGATAACTTATCTTGTTGTGTCAGTAACAGATTTCCACATGGTGATTACTGTGGTACTGTATGTTTGTTTCAAGACTACTACCTTTGGTCTGAATTTTACTATCTAGGTTTGATGTATACGTAGTAAAAGTAATGTATTCCACATAAATTCTAACGCTCCTTTTATCAGATTATTCATTGCCATGGGTGTCATTGTCGGATCCATGTATTGTCGCTCACTTTGCAAGTTACTAAAAGACGAAACATCTCTGGTCAACCCCAAATTGATAATTGTTGTTCCCTAAAGAGCAGTTACATGGTATTCTTTTGTGCGTGGATACAATTTTATATAATATAAAAATGATAAATTATAATGAGCAGAAGTAATAATCATTAGAATGGTTGCATTTGTAGATACATGCATTGTTATTCGTTTTGCATACACGGTTGCTACCTTTGAAAGAGGAAGTTTGGACACTGCTGCCTACCATACTATACTCTTCCTAGCTAATGGTAGTTTGTAGGTGAGATATACAATAAACTGGAATCCGTTAAAATATAATGCATGTCAAAGTACATAGTGGTGATTTGAAGTGAAACGTTGATTTAAAAGGAAAAAGAATTTTGGTGTGTAAGCGAGAAAAAGAGCAGATGGGAAAGACCAAACATCACATGAATAAAAGAACGAAATTACTCTGTGCCTATAAATGGGCGCCATGTCAGCTAAATTCACAGAGGGAAACACCTAGTTTATGTTCGTAATATCAGTGGAATTGTAGCAGTGGATTCTCCGCACTAAACTGATGACATGCACCTTAGAAGACTTATCAAGATGGAGAGATTTCCATGTTAGTCACTGCCGGACTCTAAAAGATAGTCAAAATTTCTATGAAGATGTCTATACAGGCCAAGTACAGGAAAGTTTCAGGCTTTCTGTTCACACCGAAATGATATTCAATTTCTTATATCCAACAAAGCTGTTCTCCTGATTTGAATGAAATTTGGCACCGTGATGACTAGCGGTTTATTTTCGTGTCAAAAATACATTTGAAGATTGAGAAACTGGAAAAAAGTTAAGTATATTTCTCAATAAGCTCTGTAACGACCAGCTATTAGTACGTTTTCGTCTAGCTTGTGGGTAAGTACTTTGTTGCAGTAGAGCAGTATGAGTTTGGTGGTGACCACGAGGATCTGGAAAGGAAAAGAGAAAGAGAAATAAGGTGAGCCGACGATGTACTTACACTTAGTCATAAAGGACAACTGACAAACGGTGGAGCTTGAAAACAAAGAGGTAAGGCAGTCTAGAAATCGAAACTGGTATATGAGTATGAGTAAGATTTTGAATGCATTACACGTCGACCATTTGAAAGGGAGAAACTACCATAATTATGGGTTGTTGAAATTCTCACTATTTTTTTTCTGTGGAGACTCATTATAAGTTGTGTTCGCATCTATGATGTCTTACTGTCAGTGTATTAGTAGTAAAGAACAGTAATGATGGAACAAAGTTGTTCTCAGATAACCTTAAGTTTCCAGGCTTCAACTTACACCAGCTAAAGAAAAAACAAAGGACGAAGAGTTGAGCAGTTCCACGATAAGTCTATATTTCCATTCATATACTCACATGGATTCATAAAACATTGTACCTACAACTGTATTCCTAGTTTCATCGTTTTTGAATCTGATATACTGTCTTCTTACTTTCATCAAAGGCATACACCCAGTTACCTTTGACAGTGTGGCTGATCGGGAAATATTTATTGATGTGTCTGAGTTACAGTCCGGAATGCGAGATATCTATCGAAAAGAAGTAGCCAGAGTACCACGTTTAGTTACCTGTAAAAACAAGTCATTCTGTGCGTTCAAGGAACTTAGCAAGCTAAGTGTACTGGAACTCAAATGTATTGCACTCGGCAGAAAAATGAGTTTACTAGCAAAATGTAGCATACTTAGTAAACTGCTGAACAGAATATTTCAGCTGTAGATCCCGTTCCCAACACTGGGCTTGTTTTATATTTGACAGCACTTGACTTATTACAATCTGACACGGAAAAGTGTCGTAACGGATTTTATTTCCGCTGTGTAGGTTTGGTGGCACATATCATCGCAACGTTCCAGTATGTTTTGAAACTCCTCACAAACTGTGAGTGTTATTTCCGCTGGAACTTTTAAACGTTCAAGGTTTATCTCTCAACATTTATTTAAAACTAATGTAGTTAAATTAACATACGACTGAACCTTCAGTCCTTTTCCTCTTAGTATCCCAGTAGCCTAAATCTGAACACCTACAATCTTTAGTTATTCGTTTGTGCACACATTTATCGGGATAGTATCATGGCATTAGAAGCTTAGCATTATGTAAACCACCAGGGTTGAGAACTCGTGAATGTTTGATGCAAGGAAGAACACGATAGCGTAGTCGGATGGAATAGTATATTTGGGTGGTTGTACCAAGATACCGATGCGTTCCAACTAACTGGCTAGAGAGTCGAATACGAGCAGTGCAACGTAACACGACAGCGTGCCAAATGGCGAGGATGCTTGACCGGGTGCCTTCAGCTCAGTGAGTCCAGTTAAACTATCAGGGTCAGCATCAAGTCGAATGTCGTCAAACCCTAGGCTACTGATTTTGGAGAAGTGTGTGACGCTACGCTACCAAAGCATTTCTCGTGTCGACGTGGTTTCTCATATTCTCTCCCTTGTATCGCAATTCTTCAACATGGCTCCACATTGCAACTTCTTGTTACCGAAATACCGATAGGCTTGAGGCAAGTCATTAAGCATTTAAAATATCTCAGTGATTGCTAAATATTCTTCTGCAGCATCGTCAAGTGACTTCAAGTCCACCAAGTTCGTTTTATTGTACAGGGATCCTCACTTGGACATACACCACTTTCGCAACTTCTTCTGGTCGGAAGCAACTAGTTCAGGGCACAAAGTTTGGTCATTGAAAGGTAAATAAGTCAACATTCTTTCCCGAAATAGTGTTTACATCTCCGACTAACAAACATACTATTTGTCTGAGTACTTTTTATCATATAACGTGCTTTCCAATACGTCTTTTGCCATCAGTGCTTACCTGCAGCTAAAGTACTGAGTAGCTAGGCATTAGTGTGCATCAATTTGTATAAGGCTGGCCCAGTGTTAGACAACAGTAGCACGACAAGACCAGCGGGTTTTTTATCATTACACAATTTCCTAATACTTTTCAGTCACTATACTTACCACAGGCAGATGGGCTCCTTTCACTTTCGTTTTACAATTGGCTCTTTTTTTGGTGTGGAGAACCTTACCTTAGAATTGGTTCACAATTTGCTTATCCAGGGGAAAACTGGTATATACGACAGAGTCAAAATATCACCCAGGAGGTTTACAGTGTTTTAGAGCGGTTGCATCGTTACGTATATCAACGAAATTGGTGGTGCCAGTAAAAACAAATTTTTTGAAATCGATTACTGCAAAAGGAGCTTGAGCAAGTCCCGAACGTGTACGCCTTTACTCCCAGGACTATGAAATCTATATGGAATGCCCTAAAACCTCTGACACTATAGACAGTGGTGCTAAAAAGTCATCTTATAGCGGAGTTGAAAATCTCGGGGAGTAGATGGACACAAATCTTGAAAGGTGTCTTGCCTGTTCCATAACTTTAAACAGAAACATATTTCTAACCGTAACAGCTGCAAAGAACACGCGTTTTGATTTGCTTCGCGTAAAGAACACAACGCACGCGGGGCTCACTACTACGGCTTAAGCCGACAGCTTAGATAATGGTCAGCTTTCGTCAGCCTAAGAGCATGCTTCGGAGCGAAAAAGTTTTCAAATAACATTATTTTCCCCAAACTGTAAGACACTACACCTGTACGAGGTCATAAGGCGACAAAAATGGTGTTCTTTAGTTGACTAAACAACTGCCTTCCTACATTATAAGTTTGTGAAATGTGACTCCCGTTTTCTTCCCATCTTTCTCATGTAGAATAATTTGGACGCTAACATGTTATCTATCAGGAGCTGGGCTGCAACATAGTGAATACATTTTCGCTTAGAAGACCTGGAAAAGTTTGTATCTCAAATTTGTTTGGTAACTTCATCACCTGTCTCTTCAACTCCGTCATGAAGACATTCCCATCTCAAGCGTGGACTGAAAAGTTTATCTTACAGCCTTCCAGCATGAGTGAGCAACAGCAAAACCCATCATTACAAACAAGTCATAAAATTACTCAATGTAAAAGTGACAATAAACGCCTGTATCATAAGGAATAAAAGAAACAGTCTACGGGATTTCCCGAAATTCTCTTAAAAGTCATCCCCATATGTCAAGGGAGGAGGTGAATTCACACTCGTAGTTTCATCCTTCCCTTTGAGTATTAGTTTAAATTTTTCAGTAGAATCTAAAATACTCAAAGATGGATGCCTTTTCCAGAAGCTCACCGAGGTTCATTCAGGCAACAGAGCTGTTTATACACTGATCAGAATCATTGCAAATGCATGATGTAAAAAAAGAAGGTCTTTCGACTCTCCAATTACCTTGTAACCCCAGAGAACTTCCCCAGTCATGATGTACTACACCTAAGGCTGTTTTTACTCGTTGGTAGACATTCTTCTGCAGTTTCTTATCCAGTAATAATCGCTCACCTTAAAGTCAAAAAACACCAGACCGAAAAACGGTATAAGTCAACTCATTGTTAAAGAAGGTGTTCGTAAAATGACACAGGAATATCGTATCACTTACACAATTACGACACTAGGTTGGGCACTCTGAGAAGTGTTTCTTGAATAATATCATTTCCACGCCTCTCGACAACACAGCTTTCTTACCACTCATGACCGATTCGACGAGCTTACATGTGGCTTGCGAGGAAATTCAACCAGTAATCTGTATGTAATATGTTTCTTGACTTAAACAGGGGTTCAGTAAAAGGTTAAAATGGGCAATTACTAGCGAGCTTACTGCCCTTCACCTCATACTTTAAATTTAGGCTTAACCAGAACCTTCTATTTCATTCAGCCAAATTACGATAACACTTACAAAAAGCAAGTCAGTCTTCATTGCGATCGTCCACCGAAGACGAATACATTTGAAGGGGTTGTCCTTGGTAGCAAGGGCAGGAGGTTAATAAGTTGGGTTTCCGGTCCCACCGGTGATTAGGGAACGATGCGTAAGAAACGATCGCAGCTTAAGAAACCAGTGGTGCTAACTATTACGATGACAAATATAAGGTAAATCTACCTCACTACTGGACCCATATCCTTTTTGCGAAGTACTTAACTGCCTGTTTGTTTGAAAGTATGTTGCAGGTCACTGTTACTTGGATACATTTGCGTGCGGACTTTTAAAGTTCCAGTCACAATGGTAAGTTTTCTGATCACTTTGTTCTGCATCAATCACTCCGTTAACTACTGATTATTTCAACTGAATGGTCAGACCTAATATCTATCTTGCACCGTTTCTTCTGTCTTTCTGAAAATGATCAAAAGTACTTTATTTTTTCAAAGAGTATACTCATTATATAGTCAGTATCAGTTAACTGATACTGAAAAGTTCATGCTAATTTCAGAAATAAGATTCCTACTTCAAGAACAGTGAGTCCTTCGGTTGTTATTCTTTCCATGGTTGTTTATGAATAGTTGTTTGCTTTTTAGGATCAGAGAAATCTGGAACGATCGAGACAATTTATCATTTAATCAGCTTGATATATGTAGTGATGCTGCTTTATGGCCTTTGACTTAAGAAACAGCCTTAAAAAATGCACCCTATCTCGGTCTTTGAAAATAGGGAAATGAGAAGGGGAAACTGGAAAATAAAGGGGAAATGATGGTGAAAAATAGACGTTAATGGAGATGATGTTTTTGAAAGGCGTAAAAAGAGGGGGAAAAGTCAATTTTCCTGTGATACTGAGGGTGAAAAGTCGACGATTAAAGCGGAATGAAGTGGATTTCAGAAGGAAAAGCAGATAAAAAAATACATGTTGAAAGGGGAAAGCGACTTAAGGAGGGGAAGTAGATTTTAAAAAAAGAGAAAATGCTTAAAAAAAGAAATCGGTTGCATTCTCTCACGAATGTCGCTCTATCTCACCACTGGGCCTCCTCCACGTTTCGTACTTTTTTCCTCTTTATTCGATTTATTTCCCTTTTTCTCGTCTGTATGAGATATGTAACACAGGGCTCTACGTGTGCAACTAATCTCTTTTCGGAGATATCGAAAGAGGATACCGTCACAACTTCTTCATTAAAAAGAGTTCTGCACTTCACATACTCCAACTGAAGATGGGTTAGAGAGGATCCTTGTAAATTCTGTCTCCTGGTCTTAGCTTGAAGCACCCTGATTTCACCTTAGGAGCAATTTCCTGGGATGATGGGCGATTCGACACACCATGATCATAGCCTTTCAGATCCTAGTGTACTTTGACAGATGCAGAATAATAGCAGCTGAGCAATTCTAATAAGGCTTGCGTCGTAGCTCAATGCTTTTCTTCGCCCTGAGCGTACGTTTTTGAAATGAGAATGAATTTTCCACTTTTAGTTGAATACTTGGTATTTTGTTTAAATATCGAAGCCTACCGTCTTTTTGCCGTAGTCGACATAATTTTCGATTAAAGTTGGAAAGGAACGTTTCTGAATGAGTTTCCTATATTTAACGCCTAGTCTAGAGTAATTCTTTGCTCCGGTACAAGCAATTTCTTCTAACACATTTTACATACGTCTTGCATAGTTTTTATTTTCCCACTCATATATCATCTGTCTCGCCACAATTTTTTGATTTTTGAGAGATGGCAGATCACAAATGCCGTACAAGCACTTCTGATGGGCCTGGGTGCCACTTCTCAATAGCCTCTGGTATACAGTGTCCTGAATATGAGTTGGTACCACGATAATTGCAAAAGCCTTACACCCTCAGTCTACAATGGTATTGTGATGCAGAGAGTGACTGGTTCTGCCTGTCTTTCTGCTTAGATATCATGGACTAACTGAAGAAGTGAAAGAACTTGTGAATACCATCACGAAGAAGCCGGAGTACAAAACGAAAGTTGATACGTGTAATAGCAATAATGACACAGCATTCGCTGATACAGATCTCTTTGTTGAATTTTAAGTATGTTCCACGAGTGGCTGAAATCCAGTGTCTAGATTACCTAAAGCATTTGTTGATGGTGACTTAGTAAACTATGCACAAAGAAGGGTGGGGTGAGTATCTTTAGGTTCTCACATCCCCATGGCTAACAGGCCTAGTCTGAAAACCATTGACTTTAAGACTAGGTCGGCTTTCGGTAAATAAGATGCGGCTGGAACGCTCCGTGTCAACTGAGGAACTGGGCGTGCAGTAGGTTTTAACCAGTTCGGCGACCCGATTAGTGATGAAAAGTGCTTACACGGGGATGAAAATCCGTTCTGAGACTGTCGATGTTGAGGTCACTGAACTAGGCCTTTGTTAGCTTTCTATACCAAATTCTGGAGAATGGCAACTAACTAAGACCGAACTAAGGGCCAAAAAGCCAGTAACTGTCATTGAACCAACTGTCAACATTCCATACAGAAAAGATAAAGTAGAGCTGCTAGAAAGGTTTGTAATCTTCCGTATAGTGGAGGAAAGTAGGAACTCAGAACCACAACGGTTTCGAACATGGCCTTTCTACAGTACAAAGTTTGTTAAACAAGCTGTTACCGAAAAACGTACCGGGGGTTACTCTACTTAATATATATAGAGAGTAGGCAAGAAACGGGGAGTCCCTACCGAATACAGATTTCGGTTACTTAAAGTCATGTTCAAGTAAACAGAAGAGAGAGAGATCACATTCTAAAGAACGCCCACAGACTTCAAACAACCGAGGTGTTTGTACGTAAAAACCTTCATGTTGGTTGTCGAATGAAAAGGCGAGAAGCGAAGAAACTGATTAGCAGAAAGAGAAATTGCCGTAACAGTGGTGGGTTTTTGTGTGGTAAGGCTTTGACAACAAATGGTACTGAAGTTTTATGAATGGAACGAAAACCCACTTAAGTGGTTTTATCGTCTTTTACACAAATGGGCGCTGTCTTCTAGATAAACTGACTGAAATTAGTAATATAATAAGTGCAGAAAGTCCTACCATCATTACTATCTCAAAAACTCAGCTCTCCTCTGAAATCGGTGACAGTGAAATACATTTATGAGGATTCGTTCTTTTTAGAAGTGATTGGTTAGCACGTGAAGGTGGCGGTGTCATCGTTTGCGTTATGAATATCTTAATTGTAACCGCAATAGAAACTGTTACACGCGGAAGTGGGACATGTAAAACGCTGTGCTGCCTACTGAAAAGCAAGGGAAAATATGGTAACCTTACTGAAGTATACCGAAGTCCTGATTGTGAAGTAGAAGACTTTTTTCTGAATAAGCCGTCCCTCTTGACAGATAACTGTAAATAAACAGTTGTAGAAGACTTCAACACACCATCATTTGTCTCGGACAGTATAACAACAGAAACATCACGTATTTCTTTGATCATAGGTTATTGGAAACATGAATTTCTTTGGCCCTTATACAACACATTAGAGCAGCAAGATACGGTCATCAGCATGCTCTGGCAATTCTGGACTCAATGTCCTCACACACAGATGATATAATCTTCATCAGTATTTTGCAACTCTTGTTGAAAGTAATTATGCTATGATTATTTCAGGCCGGTACGTCTTCTAAGCCCAATGTTTGGAAAGCAAATATGACAGCTATTGACTTTCTAGCCTTTTAAGAAGGCTGGAAAGTAAATATAGAGCCCCCATTTGAGGTTGGGTGGTCCTCTTCCAAATGGTTATATTCACGAGTGACTCAACCATTCATTTAGTGGAATGCTACGATAGGACAGAAACGTTGAAAACAAGCCTGTAAATATTCTCCTATCCGAAGGCACACATGCCCGATTGTAAGTCCTACATAACTTGTTCTATAAAAGCGGTTAAACTGATGTATGCAAGATAAAACGTTCGGATTAGGTGGGTCTTCCTTTAGTTTTGGAGTCAGCCTCGACCGACTACTGAAAGACATACAGAGATGACCCGGATAAAAGTTCTGTTTATTGACCTACTTAGGCGTCGTGATAGTATTTCGCTTCGAGAGTCTCCCTTGAGTTGTAGTAGCAGAAGCAAAAGCTTCTCTGCTGTCATCATCTCAAGTCTAGGATTACTATGAGCGACATTTCCTCTGATAAACTTTTCAGGATGTCCATTTTCATTAAAAACATCATTTCCTTTTTCCACACAAACTCTTTGAAGCAAATCGATCCCACTCTGAATGATAGACACCTAATAATATTGCCTTTGTCCTCCATTGGTACGAAGCTGGGAAAGTTTACATACTGTGCCTTGGTCAACGGTTTTTTAGGCATACTTCTCATTACATAGCCATGTTCTTTTCTTATAATTAGTACGTCGAGAAAATGTATCGAATCACTGATTTCATTTTTAAATGTAAGATGAACTGATGGAACACTGTTAAAAAACTTCAGAATAGAATTACTGCACAGGGGATTATCAAAGACTAGAAAAGCATCGTCCATATATTGATAACGGTTCAATATTGACAATTTGATCTTTCAAAGACCCATTTTCTAATTTTTCCAGAAAGGCATCTGCAAATATTAGGCCTAATGGCCATCAATCGGCCACTCTGTCAACTTTTCTGAAAACAGATTACTACTGAAGGTGGACTGGAAATTCACTGTGCACTTTAGTAATAGTTCCTCCAAACTTATGGTAGGAATCCTAGTGTCTAACTTCCTTTCTAACAATTGTTCTCAAATATAGTCTACGGTTTCCAATAGAGGGAAGTTAGTGAATAATGATATGACACGAAGCGGTCCTATGCATTTGTTTAAAATATTTAAGCTTATTACTTTTTCTCCTAACTTGAAGGTGTCTTTCACGTTACATTCCGCTAACTGGCCACCCAATGACCAAAATTATCGTAGTAGCCATTTAGCAATAGCGTGACAATACGAGTTGGTCATGTCTAGGATAGCGTAAAAAGGCACCTGTGTTCTGTGTAGTTTTTTGTAGGCCATACATCCGTGGAATCCTGCTGCCTATAGGTTTCAAATCAGATTGATGAAATGTATCCGTCATCTTTCCTTGGTCAGACGAGTAGGTCCTTATCCGCCTTTTTCGGTCAAATTGTTCACTAACTCTGATTTCTGAAATTTGCTTTTGTCTTCCAATATTAAACCCTATACATAATCAACTCTGTTCGTAATTACTGCTTCTTTATAGCTCTTTATCAGACCTTGTGATGATGTTCTGATCCTTTGTGAATCTTCTGTGAGCCTCATGATGTTCTCTAGCCAATATGCACTGTTACTGTTTTTACTGTTTTTTTACTGATGGCAGCAGTCCACTAGAAGTTCCATTTGTAATTTACTGAGTATAGTACTGGAATAATTACGCAAGAACTTCTTTAGATTTCCGAGAAATTTGCATTAGTAAATTTGACTGTCCAAACTCTTCAATAGTAATATTTGTTTCTTTGCGGAATTAGATTGTGTAATTAGTCTTATGTATCAAGTAAATTATAGTTTTAAATTTTTTAATGTATCAAGAAGTGCATAATTCCTTCTCTAAATGTTTAGTTCCAATTCAGCTATACTTGACTGAATTAATAAAAAGTGATTGAGTAAATGGCGCGGAATCACTCTCCTGTCCACCCCAAGTAAAATATTAAGCCGCATCATCCTAGAGAGGCTTAAAGACGCACTGGATTCAAAACTGCGACCGGAACAGGCAGGCTTCAGGAAGTACAAATCATGTGCGGACCAAATTGCAACGCTACACTACGCATCATCATAGAACAGAGCATAGAATGGCAATCAGCTCTCTGCCTCAACTTTATCGACTTTGAGAAGGCCTTTGACAGCGTCGACCGACAAGTAATTTGGAAACTTCTTCAATACTACGGAGTACCCCAAACCTTTATCCGCCTCATTCAACAACAATATGAAGATGCCACATGCCAAGTAATTCACAATGGGAAGCTCAGTGATGCTTTCGAAGTGAAGACAGGAGTGAAACAAGGTTGCCTACTATCCCCCATGATATTCCTTATTGTGGTGGACTGGATCATGCAGCAAACAGTAGGCGGCGAGAAGAGGGGGATACACTGGACGACGGAAAAGAACCTAGAAGACTTGGATTTCGCCGATGACTTATGCCTAATGTCACATAAACTTGAAGATCTGCAGGCAAAAACTAACAAGTTGATAGAAGAGGCAGCGAAGACGGGACTTCAGGTGAATATAGAGAAGACAGAAGTGATGAAGATACCGCACCACCACCATCAACAACAACAACAAACTCCAATCACCGTCAACGGGAGAAACTTAAAGGAAGTAACCTCCTTCACTTATCTAGGAAGCACTGTTTCAACTACAGGCGGGACGGACGAGGACGTCAAAGTCAGAATCGGAAAAGCAAGACAGGCGTTCATTAGCCTGAAACCAGTTTGGAGATCTTCTGCACTCAGCATGCGGAACAAGATACGGATTTTCAACACCAACGTCAAGTCAGTGCTCTTGTATGGTTCAGAGACTTGGCGCGTCACGAAAGGCATTTCCAATAAACTACAGACATTCATCAACAACTGCTTACGCTCGCTACTGGAGATCAGATGGCCAGAAAGAATAAGCAACAAGGAACTCTGGGAACGAACCAACCAAGAAGCTATCGCTGAACAGATATGCACTGGAAGGAAGTGGAGATGGATTGGCCATGCACTGAGAAGGCCGACTGGGGACATCACGCGTCAGGCCCTTGAGTGGAATCCCCATGGGAAGCGACGAGTTGGACGTCCGAGGGTGACATGGAGGAGGTCGTGTGAGGAGGAAATGAGAGCTTCTGGGCTGTCGTGGGACCAGGTTCAAAAGATCTCAGAGAACAGAGATCACTGGAGGCGTGCTACTGAAGCCCTATGTTCCACTAGGAACCCAAGGGACGAATAATAATAATAATAATGATTGAGTAAATATCTTATTAAGGATGTGACACTAGTAAAACTTCTTTTTCTTCTTACAGACTCCTAGTAATTTTTCAGGTAATGATTCTTTTGAAAATAATCTTTAATAAATCCAAGATGTAGGTTAGATTCAGGCAGCCTTACGTTGACTTGATTTACGCTGTGCACTTCCATTTTATAACTGTAGAACCTGATGGGAATTAATTGAAAAAAATATATTCTTTCTTCAGATTGTTTTTAGTTTATATATTCAATGCATACATAGTGTCTGATTAATTCACTGAGAACGTTTCAAACGGAAATTCTACAAGACAGAGGTTTTTTAACCTCAAAAGCAAGTGATTTTTCATATGATATCATGTATACACAATGTCAATAAATGAAAATATACTCCTGCTGTTTGATTTCAGTTATGCAGTGCAAAGATGAGGTACCCCTCAGCACTTAGAGTTCAGCGTTCTTTCCGTAAATAGGTTGTCACCAGATACAACTAATAAGAGTCAACTGATGAGGAAGACGCTATCTAGCACTTCGTGATTTTCTTTAATACCTTAATAAATCAAATTTGCTTTCTTTGGATAAACCTCTCAACCGCTATCACTTAATCAAACTAATAAGCTTTCCTTTTTTTAACTTATAAGGAAGTTGTTCCTCGTGCAAACTCACTTTCCTCACTAGATGAATCCTTAGCGAAGCAGTTAGCTAAGATTCAACTTGAAAAGCTAAATGAAGAGAAATTACGCCAAAAAATCAAAAATGAAAGGTGAGTTTTCCTAATACAGTTTTATTTTAAATCGAACTGATTGAAAGACATTTCATCCCCTTTTTAAGGTAACATAAAAATGCATTGTAGATAAACATTAATCCTGAAACTTAAATTCTGATCCAATATGTTATCCTGTTTTTCTTTAAGTATGGAACTTCGCGAACTTGAAAGTAAACTGAGAAGTGCTTATGTTGCTAAGGAACAACTTGCACAGATTGCCGAAAAACGTGCACTAGCCTACGACTTAATGGTTAGTTACCTTTTGTTTATATTTTTACTATTTTCTTGTGTACATGCAATATGCTAACCGGAGTTTGAAATTTCCTGATGTTCATCCTCAGAATTCAATTAATTACCTGTTGTTAGATAATTTTCATCTCGTGTAAATGCTGCGAATTTGTTTTCATTTAGATCTTAACTTCAGGTGGTATTGGCTAGAAGTGAAGTCTAGAACACCTGTTATTTGTTATTCATGAATTTTCAGGGGTATGTACCTACATCTCGACGACTTTAAGTGGTCTCTGTGATCATTTAGAATTTCATTAGAACAGAAAATTTTAAATTCTTAGGCCACTTTTTACCTATTGATTGGGGATAGATACAATAACCTTTTGATCCGGTGGACAAAACCGTGAGCTGTGAAACAGCACCTGGTGGTTTGGGTCGTATACTGCAGACCCTACCGAATTGATATTATACTACGTAGCGACCTTATCTGTCATAGTGTGTGTCTGTGCCACATAGTGTTTTAAAGTAGAACGTATCAGAAGGCTAGAGAGGCTTTTCCGTATCTTCATTGACTGTGATACAGAAATTGAGTCCTATGGCAGGGTGCAATTCTATATTAGATGAGGTTGATATTGCAAACAACGATACACTGTTGTCTACTTGATGACTTCGGGTGTAGAAATTGCTTCTCATAATCACATCAAAATGCCATAGAGCTTTGACTTACCAGTAATCATGTGTCATGTTCAGTACTAGCCAAAGAAGCAAAGTCAGATGAGAAATTTGCGAATCTTCATAGACTGAGTTGCTTGCACATATACTCTGCATGCCAGGCCACCACCTACCTTGACGCGCTATGCTGGTCGAAGTGGGTCCCAACTAAGGATAGTTGGACCAAGGTGTGATTCCAGTCGACAAAGTATTTGACCAATAATCTAAGCCATGCAGAGCCATACACAGCGTATCTGGCTGAGGTTTTTTAAATATTGAGAGCCAATAGTCTGAACATCTTAGTTATTCTTTTTAAATTCAGTCACAGTAGCGTCGATACATACGCATTTTGTCATTTTCAAAGTTCCAAACATCTTTCCGAATCTTCATTTACTTGTTCTCTCCCCTTTCATACACTTGTGTACTTTTCTACCATTATTTTTCTGTTCACTTTCTCTATGCATGCTGCTGTGAAACGTGGTAGCTTGAGTTGATGCATTTCACTTCGAAGATTTTCGTTGGTTTTTTATCTCAGCAGAAACCCGAACATCAGTGTAAGCATATTTATTAGTTCCAAGTGAGACAAGACTTTCCATATGGATTTCACCACTAACCTTTTACAAATAAGATAGGTTATCAGTAACTTTCATTGAAATAAATTATTAAAATGATACTGAATCTCATAATTGTAATTGCTCTCAATAACGCTGCTCAGTTTTTCGAAAAACGGGCACAAAACTTGATCCCTGAAATAGGCGATTTAAATCATTATATACTTTGTATGAACTTCCATCATCAACGAGAATGCATAGGAAAATATAAAAATTGGCTTCATTAGGTCCACTATTGTTTTGCCATACGATGGAAAATATTTGTAATTCACGATGTTCAAACTTCGATAGTTTGTTTGCTTTTCACTTTCCACAAGTAAAATTTTACTTGTTTTAACTTTTACATCTTTTAAGCGGATTCATCATAGGCTATTTTACTGCTGGCAATCGATTTCTGCAAATGAATGTAGAAATGAAAGAAACGAGTTCAATTTCCACGCATATAAAAGTCTAATCCATTTGTCCTGACAAAACATTCCGGTTACTGCCCAGAAAGTATGAAAATTAGGCTAAGAAATTTCTGTCAACTGGCTTTAGGCATTTTATATAGGATGAAATCTTTTTCCCACTTTTTCAAGTTTCTTTGAAATAAGGCTAAATCTGGTTATGTCCATTTGTTAGTATTCTTCATTCATTGGCTAGCAAACTATGACTTCTTCGGACAAACATTTTCCTCACGGCCCTTTCTGTTGCGAATGTCAGGGACTAAAATTATGCACACCATCTCACATCAGAAAGTGAATTCAGTTACTCATGAAAATTGAGATCCTAGGCAATGAAGTATTGATCTACCGTAATGCAGAACTGAACCATACAATGTTTTACCTAAGGACTACAAACTATAAATAGTAAAGAAGCAGATTTCTATAGTTAACTGTCAAGATGTAAGGCTTTTCAGAGTTGACTTATTTCCAATACAGTTGCAAGTAACTAGTATCTTGCTTCTTAAGTCACTACCCATCAAGGCCAATCACATCATGCATACTTATGTGTAACATACAAAGTATGATGACTGTGTATTACCTCTAGGCACATCTTAAAATTTCAGTCACTCTTTTAAAAGCTGTTAAGATGAGCCTAACAGTAACCCTGTCTTTCTATACTAAATATGTCAAGAAATTGCACCGCATGTTAAGATATACAGACTTATGTACCTGGACAGCGTAAAAACTACAAGTCTGCAGGATATTACAAACTCCATTTTATTACCTCAAAGAAATCTCATTCGTATTATCAGATCGCGATTTATGAAGGTATGAAATTAACTAATTGGGAAAGGAAAGATTGTAACCTAACGCTTACGCCTAAGATCAGTTAAATAAAATATTGTTCAGTCTTGAGTATTAGGGAAGCTACTTCGTAGGAAGTCTTGAACCTTGTTTACATACATTTTTGTACTAACTAACAAGAAACATTCTACACTCATGAAGAAAATGATATCTTTATAGAAAGCCAAATTCTTGTCACTAGGTTACTTAGCTTACTAGTCACATTACAAACTTGATCGATTGAATTCAGCTAGCACTATGCATTAAACAGCATGTCTTGCTTGGCTCTGTATTATCAGTCAAGCCTAAATGTATACCAGGTGAGAATGGCCGATATAACAAGCTTGATTACGAAGTCATATTTGTTGCTCAACTTTGATATGAATGTGAGTGGTAAACTCCGCTCAAAACGTCATCCAGTAAATTATTACTGCATCGCAGTGTGCACGTCCAATGGACAAACTAATATAGAATTATACGCTACCGAAATACCCAAGTTTTACTAGTACACTGATAAAACTTATGGTCATCCTGTTCAAACACTAGTCAATAAACTCACACGACCTTCACAGACTGCAGCGTGACACACAAACGATCGTATTTTTGACATTCCATACACAGAAAACCAAAGTATTAACGAGCATCTTCGTCTATGAACTTTGATTCCAACAGACAGGATTATCAAAACAATTAGTCAATGAAATCAAACAGTTGAAATGCAGACTGATGAAAGTAGTAAACCAAACAGATAAGGAACTTCTGGTTAAAGTATCCAATAAAACCAAAAAGACTGCTTTCAATAAATCCATAAAGATTCAAATTAAAAAGTTCGACAAACTCACGGAGTGTAAATGCCCCACCAAGAATAATGAAGCTACAAATGAGACACCACCAACCATTAATATAAAAAAATGGGTAGTCACTTTCTCAATTAGAGAAATAAACTTGACTGAAGTGGAAGTTCTAGAGAAAGGACTAAACTTCAACTTAATAGTAGTTCAACTGAAATCTAGAGATGTTATACCCAGCAGTGAATTAGCATTAAGCTCAATAGAAAAGACAGTTGTTGAACAGGTATGTGCGCAACGTGCAGTGACACTAAAACACAAAAAGAAAGGGAGAAAGAACTTATCGAGACCAGAAATGTTGGCAGTGAGAAATGTAGGAAATTAAAATTGTCAAATCTGACAAAGGCAGCGCAACAGAAGTTATGGAAAAGACGGATTAGATGGAAAAAAAGTCATTAAACATATCAACCTTGATGTGAATTGGAACAATAGACTTTGCTCGGAACTTCATCCAGTAAATCGCTATACTATATCAAATAAACAGTCTAATAAGGAAGTCATTAGGAACCCAGTGCATGATGTGATTCACTGTAAACATTTACAAAGTACATCGAAATGCATGCGTTTAACACTTTTATGCTGAACGATTATTCAGATATTAGAAGGTATCATACTCTCCCAATAGCCCATGATATCAATTAGTGAGTTATTAGGAGGGAAAAACTTGCATAAGCATGAAAAACGAACTTTTCTACTGATGGTTATTAAATTCACCCCCTTTGCTCTTAGAAGTGCAATATGATTATATTTTTTTTCCTGTTACTAGGCTGAAGAAGCTTTACAAGCCCATAAGTTGGCATCACAACTTGGTGATGATTTAATTATAGCTGAAGAAGAAGAGAATCGACGAAAACGCTCACAAATTAAGCATAGAAATGAATTAGATACACAAATGATGGAACAGGCTGAGTTAAGAAAAAAGGCTTATGAAGAATTCCTGCATGATAAGCAAATGGTTGATGAAGTTGTCAGGCGAATAAGACAAGAAGACGAAATGTATGTCTAATCTTGATTTATTGTTTGACTAAAAACTCCACCCAATCATTTAATGTCTGCAGACTGATATTTTAAAGAAGAGATGCAATTTAGTTTAATGCTGAGATATTAGATATGTACTAAATTATAGTCTGTCAACAAAGGTTTATGTTATAAAGAGTCAGCCTAATATATATAATCAACCACTCCTTCCTAATTCTCCTCGGTTAATATCAAAGTAAAATGATCTGACCAATCAGTGGACAAACCTATGAAACTCCAGTGACTAAAATTACCAAGTCATGTGCTTTGTTTATTTATTCACTGGTTAGTGTGAAGTTTTATGATAAATGCAGTAGATGTAGGTTTGAAAAAGTTGACAGTGACCTAACTAAGAAATCGTATGAAGGCATGAATTCACTTACACTAACTGTGGTCTATGCATGGAAGCACAGACTACCAGAAGGTGACTCATGAAGTGTTAAGAACCAGTGGCTGGAGTTCTCCGGTATCTAGGCTAAAAAATGATCATAACGATCCAGTTACATTCACGTTTTACCATCATTCAGACTTCAGCCATCCTGATAAATCTTCACTGAATAATTCTTTCTCTTCCTGTATTCTCCTTGTTTATTTTTTATTACTGTATATCTATGGAATTCCTCTTTCTTTCTTCTTGCGAAATGTGATGATTTGAACTGATCTACTTCTGTACTAGTCTTTGCACTGGTCTGTCTGTCTACTTTGAAACTTGTCTTATACTTTTTCCGTCAGATAAATGAAATTTAAATCATTCAGCTTCTCAGAATGTCATAAATTAATAAGTAAACACTCAGAACAGTGAAGATCTTATTACTATCCACTTGTTGTTTTTTTCTATTCTCATGTCTTCGTTGCATTACTCGCGAGGGGTGGAATCACCGTATGAGTGATTTTGAGGTCAAGCGAGTGGTACTAGACAGACAGTCGATTGATCAGGTTGTGAACCTTAGCTAACTGAGATGGCTTGGAAGTGTACTACACATATCTAGCCACCCCTCACTTCCATGTGCTACGCTAATGGAAATTGGATTAGGTTGAAAGAGGGTTCAGGGTGGTTACACCAAGATGTGATGCTTGTGGATGAAGTCTCTTACTCTTGGTTTGCATCGGGTGGGGAGATGCAGACTGTCTGGTTGGGGGTTCCCCGGGAGGAAAGAAGTCAGTGGTTGGGGACTCTTAGTGACACGGCTGGAAATCATTCACAATGGCGCAAATGTATTCAATCCTTGACATATGAAGCCTGAGTATTCACACTAACCTTTATCTTTAAGTTGTTTGTTCTTACAAAACTTTATCTATTTTGATATTATTCCTATTCTTTCCACTTATTCTTTTTATGCTACTATGAATTGTTTCAGCTTGAAGAGATTCACTTGCGTGTGAGGTTCTACGTTGGTTTTGTCAGTCAGTTAGTCATATCTTCCCGTAATTGCAGTCTCATATTTTTTCTACTTTTGGCAATTTCCATCACTTGAGCTCAGGATTTGTTTGTGATTATGCATTGAATCTATCCCCCTGTTTTGTAACAGGGGTTAAATTTTTGCATGTCCATGAGCTGGACACCAAATGGCAAGTAATTTAGCTGTCCGGTTCTAATTGGTCAGCACTGATCGAAATCAATGAATCAGGTTTGCAGTGCGAGTTCAAATTTCCGAGAGAGTATTAATTTCATCATAGTTAACGATAAGTCTTGCTGATGAATGTTAACAAGCATGAAGCTTAGGTAAGTCTTCCTTGTCATCGACACTAATCATCTAAACCTTTCACATCTTTCTTATTTCAGTGACAGTCGGTCATTACCACATTCATCTTAACAGAAAAAATTCATCCATATTCTAGTTTTTAAATGTTCTTCTACACTTGAATGAATTCATTATTAGAATAAAATCCAGACACCGATTTTTGCTCATCTTCAAGGTTCTCACAATTGTAAATTGTAACCCTAACACTATTGGTTGATTACTTTTCGATGATGAAGCATGATAGCCAATTAGGGAAAAGATAATATCCATATAGGCCTGCTAAAAAATATGGCTGTCACGCCTATCTTTAATCACGGCTTTTTTGTGTAAAATATTCAGTCTTTTGATATCACTTAATTCTCCACTATTTTTCGCTGGTTCTAAATTTGCATGTTTGGTGTTTCTGTTAGCGATAGATTTAATTTCCTTCAGTTAGACTGCATTTTGTACTGAACCTTGGAAGGTTATTACGAAGTATTTATTCAATAGACAGTTCGTTAATGAGTAATAATTATGTATCTACTGTTTGGAGACTATATCACGTAACCGCTTTATTAACAATTTACTAGACAAAATGGAAAATAAAAGAATAAGTATTTCAGTGAAGAGTCACTTTTTGGTGATTTTGTTCTCAAAGCTATACAACCTCAAATTTATACACTTCTTGTATTAAGATTCGGTTGTTATAACTGGGTTGTCAAGCACGGCAACGAAAACGAATAACTTTGAAGGTCACCCTAGAAACAACCGAAATAACCAATTAGGTTGCTGTATTTCGTCTGGAAGGGCAGATTTTCATAAGACAGAGATATGTGATTGCTTAATTTAGCTGTCGTCAAGGTGACCTTAAAAGTTACTCACGTGTAGTGAAGATTCATCAGAATATGACTGGAGCTGCATAAATAGTATTAAGTTTGGATAAGAAATCTAGTCACAACATATTTTGATAACTGTAGTATGATCAGAAACAGCCTCTTAACAGGAATGAATAGTAAACTACGTAAGAAATGAACAGTATAAAAAAGGAAGACTGGGTTTCAAAGACTGAAAATTAGGACCGTTATTTGAAGCTTCTGATCTAAGCTTAGTAATCTTTATACAACTCCAGTCATACTCTGATTAACCTTCATTATTCATCACAGATATCTGTTATTTTAATAACAGCTCATGTACTGACACTCATTTTGTTGCCATGCTTGACAAACTACTTTTAACCAACCAATCCTAACACAACGAAAATGTTTAAATTTACAGTTGTACAGCTTTAAGAATGAAACCGCCGAAAAAAAGACTTTTGTTCTTGTTTCATATCCTGATGGATATCTTTTGCAAATTGGAAAATGAAGTGATTCTATAAATTGTAAAAGTAAGATACTGTGGATAACTTTGGTGAGTTGACTGTTAGATTACACAGGAATGCTGAATAAAGCTCAAGGAAAAACTCACCTAATGGTTAGCTCAAAGTATCAGTAGCTTGATCATTATTTCACCTCTGTGTTAAAGTTTATCACGTACATTTCAGCTGTAATCATGTTTCAGTTCAATTTGAATCATCACATATGTTACTGCATTACTATTCTGTTTCTTTTTATCATTAGTTCTAGAAATAGTTCGACTCAGGAACTTTTAAGACGATAATTTAGCTATCTAAAGAAGCTATGACGAGAAGTTAGTCTTTGAAGTTTTTAAAGATAATAAATGATTTCCAATACAAACTATGTCACCATTAAAGTTGAGGTGTATGTAGAAAACAAGATAGGAAATGAAATTTTGGGTTTCTTTTGACCCTTACAATTATTAAAAACACCATTCAGTGATTGATATGACTTTCGAATTCAATGAATAATCTAATCATAGACCTTAACTAACAAAGGATTGAACAAATGATCTTCGACGTATAATTCATCAAAAAGTGTTCTCCATTCATTTCTCTTTTAAGTAGTTTTTTACATGACTATAAGTCAGATACATCCTCTTAATAGCCGAGTGTACATCATGGCGATATTTCTACACCAAATATTATACCTTCCTTCACTTTCGCTTTTTACGCTTTAATCTCTTGTTGTCTAGTCATGGATAGTTGATCAGAGTGGCTAGTTCACCCGGTCACAATTCTTGTGGTTTTTTTCTCATATTATTATTGTAACAACAATCAACCAATAATGGTAGCTTATCAAAACATTTTAACAATCCTTATATGCAGATCCTAGTAATATTTTACTAAGATTGTACAGCTTTTGGGACTGCTATCTCTGAAAACTAATTTGTTTTCTGATGTTTTTAATTTCTGTCTAAATTGGACTATTCAAATATTTATTGTATTCTTATATTTTGTAGTTACCTCCTGTCCAGTAAATATAGGTATCTTGGCTAGTTACTCAGCATTTATCATTTGGTCGACTCTTAGGCTGTCATGAAATTCCGTTGACTGAATTCATAATGGTGTGACAATTGTAACGCTTGTTGACACCTTTCAACAAGGTGTCTTCAGAACATAGCATAGACTTATACCTTGTCAATGAATTAGTCTGCATCATTCAGTGCTACAGTTAGAAACTTTATCACTGAGCTATGTCGACAAGGATTCACTTTCTTTATGAATGATCATCAGTGTACCTATATCATTTCTGCAAGAGATCCTTCCCTATCCCAATAGCTAAGCGATAAGTTTCCGAACTAGAACACTTGGTTACATACCTAAGTCCCAAAGAAGACATCAGTTCTCTCAACACTGTTGATGAACTTTACTTGAGATTGCCAATAGTCAAGAGACCTGCATCCGGGGATTTCTGTGAACCACCTTTAACTACTCAAAATATATATATTTCCGGTTTTTAAACTATGAACTTCATTTTTACTGCATCTCCTCACTTTTTTCTGGAATCAAACACTCTTATAAAAGTTTAAAAAATAATCTACAGTATACTATAAATAAAGCTTGAATTAGCAATAAGCGACTTAGTGTAATACACTTTGTTTAAATAGACAGTCTGCCTGATATTTTGTGGGAACAGACGAAACGTAATATCAATTTTATAAATACCTGTTGAATTACCAGTTTCGAAGGAAACTGAAAGTAACACGAAAATAGAAGTAATGTAAGCGAATAACGTTTAAAAATCTAAGTGATGATGGCTCAGTTGATTAAAATTATTGAGGTGACTTGTTTGTTGTTGACAGTTTTCATCGTGAAGTGGTATCAGTTGACCGTAATGATTGCTTCACATTGAAATATTAAACCCACTAGATATCAAATTAACGTATGATGTTTTCAACGCAAAATCTGAAAAGCCTAAACTTGATTTTGTATAAACTCATCGATTAGCAGTGTTAAATAGTCTTCAGCTGAGAGAAAACGACTATCTAGTCTCATCTGGTTTAGAAGCCGATATCAGTCGATGATGAAAATCATCTTTAACTCACAATAATGAATAATTGCTTTTAAAAAGTATGCTATTACTAACTGGAACTTTGATGAAGATTTCATATCCTAAAAAAAGTTTTTCGAAATCAGATTCCACCATTCTCTTAGTGATCTTGTATTATCCAACACTCTAAGCGAAAAGAAAACAATTGGTAATCTCCCACAGTGTTCGACTGTGATTTGTTCTATGTCAGAATATTGAATCAGTTTATAGTGTGTTGAATGTCTTATGCCTAAATCAACTAACCATTGTGTACACTGTTTTATCAAACTACTTATTTGAATGATTTGGTGCATGGTTTAGATATAAAGTACAAACAGTCGACTTCGTTCATTCTACTATCGTAGATATCACAAACAAAGTTCATTGAGTACACCACGATGCCTAAGTATAAAATTAAGAATATTCACTTTCAAAGTAGTTGTGTACATCACAGAACTTGACAGGTTCTGAATTTTTACCCAATCCCAAAGATAGTTGCTGCTCGCTACCAAATAGTCGACTTGTGGAAAAATGGCATTTTCAATATACTACTTGAAAAATACTTCACTTATTCTGCAACCTTCTCACTTCCTTTGTTCACATAATGATTACTTGAACAGTGAACGAAAAAAACGTCAAAAAAAGAAAGAAATGATTAGAAAGGAAATTGTTCAGTATCAAAAAGAAAGAGAAGATCATATAAAAGCTGAAAAGCAAAGACTTCATGAGGAATTGGAGGCAATCCATGCTTACACTGCAAAGAAAGACGATGAACAACTTGCTGTCAAGGCGGTTATTAAAGCAAGACAAGAACAAATAGAAAAATTGCAGGTAATTCCGCAGTATGTTGATACATATCTCGCCCTCAAATAACTCGTTGCGTAACCTACTACATTTTACCTTCTTCTGGTCATTATATTTGCTTCCACAAATTAAAACCAGATGTCCCATGTCACTGTTAAATACTTCCTGGGTCTTTTTGTATATAACAGTTCAGTTTGGATGTTTGAAGGTAATTATTTATTGATTTCAGATTGGTAACATCCAGACCGTGGAAACTAAAGGCCCTGAATTCGATCCCAGATGGGGTCATGGGTGCGCATTGATGGTTAGTCCCATACCAGGACGAAACATCTGTCCAGTGCCTTGAAGTTCCCAATGTTTCTGATGCCAGTCTATGATGAACATCAACCCAGAATTTAATGTACACTCAGTAATATTAATAATAATTTCTTTGTTCCAAACACAACCTCGCCTGGTTAACTAGCTCACTAGTTACTAGCTGGTCCTAAGCCCGGATAAAAAGGGAAGGTTGGGCATAGGGCTAGCAACCCTACCCCGGAAAACAAATCTAACCGCTAAAGAAACTTCAAAGCACAAACGATATATAAAACATAAAAACAAACTTATTCCCCGCTGGAATCGGAGAGACGAAATGACGCCAGTTGGTGAAAGCCTTCGGGAAGCCAATTGGTCGATGTGTCTCCTCTTCTCTCGATCAAAGCAAAAGTAAACATGGGAAGATGGAATGTCCACACAATGTTTGAAGCTGGCTGGCAAGGCTGCCCAGATTGCAAACGAGATGAGAAGGTATCACATTGAAGTGCTTGGAATTTGCGACAGTAGATGCAATGGAAGTGGACTCTCGAAACTGTCAACTGGAGAGGAGTCAATAATCTACTCCAATATTGTCACCCAGACAACAACCATGAGCACACTGAGTTTTGGAGTGACTATCACAATATTCCCAAGAGCATCAAAGGTTCTCATGTAGTGGGAACCAGTTTCATCCAGGATCACGACAGCAAGATTCAACTCAGAAGGAAGGAAAGCCACAACCATTCAATGCTACGCTGTGCACCTACAAATAACGCAGATCAAGAGAAGAAGGGGGAATTGTACAGACAACTGCAATCAGCACTGAACAAGACCTCAGTTGGTCATATCAAATTCATTCTAGCGAGCGGCATGGATGCCAAACTGGGAGCGGACAATACAGGAAGAGAACTAACCATAGGCCGAGAAGGACTCAGTGAAATGAACGAGAATGGAGAATTGTTTGCAGAATCCTGTACATTTAACGATTTGGTGATTGGAGGCAGTGTGTTCAAGCACAAGGATATCCACAAAGCGACATGGATTTCACCAGATGGACACACCAAAAATCAGATCGACTTCATTTCAATGTGAAGAAAGTGAAGACGCAGCCTACTAGACACAAGATCAAGAAGAGGAGCTGATGTAAGTGCAAGGAACATACCTTGCAAATCAAGTTAAAAGTCTTCAAGGAAGTTGGTGATAGACCACAGTTCAACACCCAGAAGGGAAACTGAAGGACGAAACTACAAAAGAAATCTTCATGTCAGTCATCAAGACAAAATGGCAGATATCGAGCAGCATCCCTGAAGAAACCTGTGTGAATGAACACTGGAACTCTTTGAAAGCTATGTGGAAAGAAACCTGCATAACTGTATTAGGAAGGAAGGAGGAATAAGATAAGGGACGGATGTCGACGGACACATGGAAGCTGATAGAGCAGGGAGAGGAGGATGATGAAGCAGAAAACAAACCAGTGCAAAGATGCACAACGAACGGAAGGACTGAGTACAATGTATAAAACACTGGACAAAAAAGTGAAGAAGAGTATGCGCAAAGACAAAAGACACTTCTACGGCACACTGGTTCACACCACTATTGCAGAAGATCTGGAAGGAAGGAAAGATACCTGCCAACTGATTGGAAGAAGGGCTACCTTGTCTAACTCCCGAAGAAGGGAGACCTCAGTGTTTGCAAGAACTGGGCGGAATCACGCTCCTGTCCACCCCAAGCAAAATATTATGCCACATCATCCTGGAGAGACTAAAGAATGCGCTGGATTCAAAATTACGACCGAAACAGGCTGTCTTTAGGAAGGACAAACCATGTGCGGATCAAATTGCAAGGCTACGCTGGGCATCATCATAGAACAGAGTATATAATGGCAGTCAACTCTCTACCTCACCTCAACTTTATCCACTTTGAAAAGGCCTTTGATAGCGTCGATTCAGAAGCAGTTTGGCAGTTGCTTCAACACAACGTAGTGCCACAAACCTTTATCAACCTCATTCAAAAGCTATATGACGATACGACATGCCAAGTGATCCACTAGGAACCCAAGGGAAAAATAACAAAATTAATATTTCAAACATGTGTGATACAATATGGAATTCTCAACATGTCACATTTCAACAGATTCGTTCCCTGAAATAAATAAGTGTTGCGTTCGAATAATGTTAATAATAAAAAGAGTATTGGAAGCGTTAATGTAAAACTGGCGGCTGGTGTTACACTAGAGTCTGGTCTAAACTCGTGAATGAGTACAAAATAGGGTGTAATTTTGGCTTTGGTAGTTCAATTAGCCAGTATGAAAATCTGCAATTCCATTTAGGTATTCTAGGAATAGTAATGTGCTGTGTTTTTGAGCCCTGATGAGTCCATTTCTATCCGGCATAGCGTTCAAGATCCGATATTTGCTTAGTTCAGATGTCTGTTTGTAGGTAGTTGATTTACTATTAGTGTTATTTTATGATTTGTCCCTTGAGTTCCTAACTGAACATAGGGTTTGAGTAGTCCGCCTCCACTGCACTCTCTTCTCTGCAGTCTTCAAAACCTGGCTCCACGACTATCCATAAGCTTTTGTTTCTTCCTCACATGTTCTCCTCCATATCACTCTTGCCTCGGACTACCAACTCATCGTCTCCCCTTCAGATTCCACTCGAGGGCCTGGCCTGACGCGTGATGTCCCCAATCGGCCTTCTCAGTGCATGCCCAATCCATCTCCACTTCCTCCTGTATATTTGTTGAGCGATAGGTTCTTGGTCGGTTCGCTGCCAGGTAAGAGTTCCTTGTTGCTTATTCTAATTATTCTGGCCATCTGATCTTCAGTGTCGAGCGTAGGCGGCAGCTGTTGGTGAATGTCTGTAGTTTGTTGGAAATGCTTTTCGTGACTCACCAAGTCTCTGGACCATATAGAAGCACTGACTCACTTGACTGACATTAGTGCTGGAAATTTGGATCATGTTCACGCTTTGTGCTGAGTGCAGTAGATCTTCACACTGATTTCAGGTTAGTGAGGGCTTGTCTTACTTTTGCGATCCTGGCTTTGACGTCTTCGTCTGTGCCGCCGCCTGTAGTTGAAACGATGCTGCCTTTATAGGTGAAAGAGGCTTTTTCCTTTAGGTTTCTCCCGTTGATGGTGATTGGTGCTTGCTGCTGATACTGTTGTTGGTAGGGTATCTTCATCACCTCTGTCTTCTCTACATTCACTTGAAGTCGCGTTTTTGCTGCCTCTTCAGCCAACCCGTTAGTTTTCGCTTGTAGGTCTCCGAGTTTGTACGAAAAGACATTAAACATAAATCATCATCGTCGGCGAAATCCAAATCTTCTATGGTCTTTTCATCAGTCCAGCCAGCGTATACCCCCCTCCATCTTCTCACAGCTCCTCACAGTTGTCTGTTGCATGATCTAGTCAACCTGAATCAGGAAGATCATGGGTGATAGTAGGCAACCTTATCTTACTCTTGTCTTCACTTCAAATGCATCACTGAGCTTTCCATTGTGGACCACTTGGCATATGGCGTCGTCATATAGCTGTTGAATGAGGTTCACAAAGGTAAATGCCACGATATATTACAATATAAATCCTGAACAGAAAATAGTATGATATATTATTATAATTCTATCAGTAATCTCCTTGTCATATGATAATCACCACCATTACACATTTATCCTGATTCAGCAGTTATTAGAAATGTAAAAACATGTCTGATCATAAATAATCTGCCTGTTGATATTGTTTTCCGGTGGAGTCGGTGGACTGCCGACAATAGATGCACTAGAATCCAGTATAGCTGCTGTGGAAAAATTCCTAGAAGTATATGATATAAACTAAGGGAGAAATAATATTCTCTAAAAAACATAAACAGCGTATCTTGACGATTTTCAAAATTACTATGATTGTTTTTGAATTTACTGTTTAGTTATCGCTATCTCTAAAACGACATAGAATCATGAAATTGAATGCTAGAACATGACAGTATATTGAATTCACTCCCACTATCTCAAAAAAAAGGGACCGTAGGTAAATTCGAAGAAAATAAAGAATAGTATTATGGTGAAGATAAAATCAATCGGTACTTTATTATAGTGTTGAATAAGATTGCCGTTATCTGTATAAAAAACCTTCAACTTCTGAAGCCTGCTGCGATAAGTCGTTTTGCTCAGAAGTTTCGAAAAGAGCAAGTAAACCAAAGTGTAGATATTAGATTAACTGAAGCAACAAAAATCAATAGAATATTAAAATCAAGATAAGCCTAGAAAAAGTCTAAGCCGTCGTAAATATATATAAACCGTTTTCACGTTGCAATATACCGCCTTTTCCATTTGTCAGGAAACTGAGAAATCACCAAGAGGTAGAATCCGAAGGTTATTTTCCAAGCATTCATATATATATATACATATATATATATATATGATTACGGGTTAGGAGCGAGAGTAAATCCGATGAGTTTCTTACTACTTCATCATACCCCTACTTAGTAGTGGTTAGATTTAAAAGCAGAGTGAAATTTCCAGAGATTACCTTTTTACGTAGCTATCCAAGTGCTTAGTATCGAACTGTATCATGCTCTTGAGTACGAATTAAGTACGAATAAAGTTATAGTAGTAAGGCACCAGGAAAATGAGAAAACTACAAGCAGCTGTGCATTTTGAACGCAAGGTTTCTCCAAATACTGCTTTAAGGTGAAGGTGTGGCATAAAAGATTAAAGCATTTGACTTGGGACCAGTGAATAACACTTGAAACTACTATGAAGATTGGGGAAGTCAGGCGCTAGTAGTAGTAGTAGTAGTAGTAGTAGTAGTAGTAGTAGTAGTAGTAGTGACTTTCTTTTATTCATCGCGGTTCGTGTTTGATGGATTCTTTTATACGAAAGGGTTTTTCAACTACCTGGATGAATCGGTTTATTAATTAGGCTTTTATTTTCCTGCTGTATCCTAATGAATTCCAGCTTCTGCTCATGACCTTTTTAACAAATCGTTCTATGAATCCCCCTTTGATCAGCATCTTCATGTTTAACACCATTCATAATTTTCTATGTTCAACTCCACCCTGAATCATTTCCGGTGATTTCGATAATCTTTTCCAAGGAAAATACCTTGGAAGTGGGTGTTTTCTACATACCAATAAGTGGATATACTCTTCACCACTACAGCTGTGGCTTACAATTTAGGGGATTGACTTTCAACTAGTAGGTCACGGGTTCGAACACCACTCCACCTACCGAGGTTTGAGCAACCAGGCAATATCATTAGCCGTCCCACAATAGTTGTGGCCCATTGTCTATTAAACGAATGTGCAAAAGGTTGTTGAGAGGATTTCGATTTCGTCTGCACATCTAATACTTTTTACTTCAAAATTGTTTTCCTTTTTTATCACATAAATTTAGCGTGAATTAGGCGAGAAATTATTGGAAAAAGAAAGAGAACGTCGAGAATTAGAAGAGATACGTCAAACTTTAGTTTTTGAGGAGAATGCTAAAAAGGCTAGAGAGGAAGAACAGAACTTATGGATTACAAAGTTAAGTAATCAACAGAAACTTCAAGCAGATTACGAGAGGCAACTTGTTTTAAAAGAAGAGCAAAAAGAGGTAGGACAAAAGATTATTTCATTTTAAATGTCCGTATTTAACTGTTTATACTCCGTTTAACATATATCGTTTCTCTGAAAACTCCCTGGTGTACTCAGTATTTCTTGTATCCAAAATTTCTACATTTTCCAAGTTCTATATATCATCCATTGAACCCAGCTAAGATGTATCATGATGCTTCATGCAAACGAACAGAAAAAGAACAGTCACTCAGTTTGGCGGAGTGTTACCACATGTTTTACAGTTTATTTTTTAGATGACTCTGAGATTGAATCTTTTGGCCTCTATAAAATGGAGTCAATATTTTTTCCAGGTTTGTGGGATGTATTGATCCTTTAAAGTTTCAGTTACCTAGATGGAATCTCCAGCATATTCCCCAAGGATAACAAGGCGATTAATCTGTAGATTTTAAAGTATGGCTTTTTGACTGACTGTGAATCTGACGAGTATCTTTTATGAAATTGAGTAGATAGACACTCCTCCAGAAGATATCCACTACACAATTTTCCTCTTAACTATTTAAGGTTTATGTACTATGGTTTTTCTTCGCTTTTTAGGACAATAACTGACTTTTTGTGCAAGTAATGATGGATAGTACCTAACCCGGGGGACTTAGGATGAATTTTTCGTCTTGTGTCGGATTCATCAGCTGCACCTACCTGTCTCCCAGAGAGTGATGTTGTTACCACTGAGTCTCAAACCTTGATCAAATCATCTCAAAAGCTACAGTCACGATAGCCATGTCTTATGCGACAGGTATACTTGGATGTCATAGCTCATAATTTCCCGTTTTCGATTTAACCGAATTGATGAACAACTATCGCAATCTTGGCTCCTGAGCTAATCCTTTAAAATTACTGGTTATTTCATTTTGATAGCAATAACTATGTGTTGTTGGGCTTTACTTTAGTTGAGGATTTGAGTCGGTTTTCTGCACACTTCAGTCTGTAATTTTCCTGAATCCGTCTCAGTCATCAGGGGATCTAAATATCCAAGTTTCTTGGTTGATTTCTATTCAGTTATAATTTTAATGTTATCAAACTTTTTTGATTAATTTTTAGGCATTTTTCAATTTATTTATTTTTTAATGATGACGAACATGTGCCTTATATATTAGTCTCAAAGTTTTGGTTTGATCAACAGTAATACAACATTTTTCAATCTTTGCATAACTGTTTCTGCAATCAGTTTTGGTAAAAAAGGTCTGTTGGTGTTCCTTTTGTCTGTTTGAATAGTTTGGCGTTGAATTGGAAACATGTTCTTAGATATAAATCGATTAATTATATCAAACTTGGACAGTGTTTTTGTGTTTGTTCCGAAACGTGTTTACCATTGGCAAGGAGAAGAGACATCCTTAGCTAGTTTCGGTTCATTTGGGGTGCATAGAGCTGTAACGTTGAAAGACACTATAAATTCTTGGTTAACAATATGAAAATTCTTAGTCTTCTATAAAACCTGTGTCAGAAAGTTGTTGGAGTGGTAGCATAATTGTACCACATGCTTAATTTTGTGTGAATTCTGTTGACAGATTGTATGATGAAGTACCCGGAATTAAAAATGTTGATCGAAGAGAGACGTTTGGCTTGTGTACTTTTAGTCTATCACAGGAACATGGAAAGACTAGCTCATTGGATTTCATTCTCCACTGATCTTGTTCTTCAGCTTTTCCTATTTTGATCAGCTGGTTTAGAGTTTTGATTACGTGAAAGTCAAAATTTTTGATTGGATTTTTGTCAGTTGGTTGATTTACATTTTGGTCCCCAAGCAAGTCTTTTATCTCCTTCATGTCGTCTGTATCAATGACCACTGTGTTGCGCCCTTTTTCAACCGCAGCTAAAACGATATTCTATTCATTCCCCAGTTTGTTAGCAGTTCTCTGTTCCTCATTGGTTAACTAAATATAAACTTCGATAACGCTATTAGAAGACGAAGATTATCTGAAAAATGTGATGTATTTGCGCAATACATTTCGAACAATCTGATCACACATTTACTTGTCAAGTCAATTTATATATGAAAATGAAAGGTCAAATAAAATGAAAAAGGTTGTGACACTAGTCTTGGTAACATAATCAGATATGTTAAGCATATGAACTAAACATGTCTGCTTTCGTAACATGACGCACATATGGTGGACCTATCGATGGAGCAACAAAGTACTAATCAAGGAAGATAAGTCTCTCAATGAGATTTTGAATCTTCACTGACTGAGATGGTTTGCATGTTGAGCTGCCACCTACCTCAGCATGTTAGCTGAAGTAGGACTGGGTTAGCAAAGGGCTTAGAGTTCCTAGATCTTAAAGTTGTATTAGCCCATGAAGTCCCTAACTGTTGGTCTGATCCGTGTAGGGATGTGTAGGCTACCTGAATGGATTCCTCATGGTGATAGCGAACAATGATTGGAAACTCTTAGTAATATGGCTCACAATTGATTACAGTGGGGCAGATGTATACTTTCTTTTTCGTCTTCAAAGTTCAGGCTGTTTTGATGAACCTTCATCTATTTGAGTCGTCTCTTCTCTTATACTTTCGTCAACTCCCATATCATTTGTTTCCTATTCACTATTTGTATGTTACTGTGAAGTCTGCCAGCTTAAAGTGATGACGTTTTGTGCAGGGCTCTTCACCGATCTGTTAATTTTTCTGTATTTGCCGTCTGATACAAATAAGCGTTTTCCTTTTTGATTGGTATGCAGGCTACTTTAGCTGTTACAAACCTTTTCCACAACTATTACATATTAGGTGACAAACAACCTTTTGGTGTAACAGCTGTATCCTTAAAGTTGTGCTGATATAAATTGCTCGGAATTGACATTTAATGCTATAACGAAAAGAAAACGGTAAAATCGCTGCCTCTATAACGTATCTGTCGATGCACAATGTTCTGAGCTGTACACCTTCTCTTCAAGATGGAAGATACTGTTAGTTCACCTCGGCTGAAGCGAACAAAACTAGTTGGAGGTTCTGATCCAGTCTTTTCAACACATGTACTTATGCGAATTAGTTCATATTGAGTATTGCATTTTTTTCCCTTTTGTATGACTTATCTAAATCGGCGAAGTTAAACATACTAGACATAACTCAATGTTTTGATTTCAATGAGGAAACTTTCCCTTAATATTCTGCTCTTGAATCTCATTGTCTAAAGTTTGGGAATATAAAAAGCTGAACCAATAAAAAACTGTGTCAGCTTTTATTTTGTTCTAGATATACCTCTAGTCAGTTTGAGCTATTCTGATAGTTAGGAAAAAGAAACTTATCAGCTGATGAAGTTATAAACTCGTACCTACTGAAGTATTTTGGTCATGTGGCACGTATGACAACTGACTATTTGCCTCAATATTTGATGCTTATTGAAGTAATCTTAGAAATGATTAGGGCTAACCGAAGAAAGATGCAGTAACAATTTACCACATCCCTTGTGAACCCGACTTCTTTACTTCAGCGTATTATTATCAATAGGATAACATTTCAGGCACAGCTTATTACATACAATCTCACCTTGGTATGATTATAGATATTAGTGCATGACTGGTTACTGCACAGCAGTTACTTTCTTGGTGTCTAGTCCTGAGTGCTGATCGAATTCCACCGATCAGTGTGAGTACCAAGTTAGGAAGCTCACCATTGCAGTGTACTTCGGTGAGTGATAGGTGAAGGCAATCAGTAGAAAGCCCTGGATCTGGGTTGATTATTTGTTGACACTCGTCAGCTAGGCGTATCTGCAACCATATAAGAAAGGAAAAAATACAACCTTCAGTTTGAACTTACTTGTCTTTTAGCGGAAGTGTGGTTTAATAGGAAAAACAACTGTACTGAAAAGACTGGATCATCAATTCCAACTAATTCTGTCCACTTTAGTTAAGGTGAATCCAAAGTATTTACAACCTTTACACGGTAGGTGTACCGACTGCCTTGCTCTGGGGCAGTAAACCCAGCCTTCTGAGTTACAGATACGCCTTGATGACAAGTGCCAATAAGCAAAACACCTAGACCCTCAACTCACCCTGGATAATATGATTCAAGCCTGATTCCAACAGTAACAGTTTTCACATCCTTTATTTTTTGCCTGACATTTTCGCTAGTTATCTGAATTTTTCGATATCTTTGTCGGAACTTTTCTTCAAGTCACCTTATATATTAATAAATAATAACACTACCACTCTTTATTATAAACAATTCTTGTATGTCTTGTCTTGTATGGATGATAAGTAGTAGTATTTTAATTTTGAGGTTTGTGGGAATTTATTTATTGATTTCAGTATGGTATTCATCATGGGCTGACATCAGTTGGAGAAACACTGGAAACCTATGGGCTCTGGACAGCTGTTTCGTCCTAGTACAGGACTCTTCAGCAGTGCATTCCCATAACCCCACCAGGGATCGAACCCAGGACCTTCATGTTCCGCTCCCAGTACATCGCCATTGAGTCACTGGGTCAGGATTTAATGGTAAATATTTCCTACTTCTATCAGTCATACAACAGGACAGTCGCTCGCCGACGGCATTGGATGCAGGTCACTCTGTACTGTGAGCTGACAAAAGTAGAAAATATGGACCACTGGATTCTGACCCACTGGCTCAATGATAACGTGCAGTCCATGGGACACGAAGTGCCTAGGTTCGACCCGTGGTCGGATCATGGGTGCGCACTGCTGACTACTCTCATACCAGGACGAAACAGCTGTCCAGTATTTCCAGGTTTCCAATACCTCTCAAACCTATGTCAGTCCATGATGAATGCCAACCAGGAATAATATTATTATTTTATTACTATTTTGTTTCGCTTTGTTATTTCTGTTTATAGTTGAATTTATTTTTCTTTGGATAGTGTAATTAGAAGAAAAACTTTCTGGTTACTTATTTAATTTTTCACAATCTGTTAAACAGATAAATCGTGTTATTCAAACAAACTTCTCCTACCAATTATTGCACCTAAATTTATAAAAGGGACCATTTATTCGATTGTGTTATCTGAGTGATAGATCGAACTACCAGTGACCAAATTACTGAAATCATCCTGTCTACTATTTCATGAGTTTTATGGTTTTCATCATAAACAGGATGCATTTGCAGCTGATGATTCATTATCCTGGTAGAGAATAAATTAGTAACCCTTTTCGCTTTCTATCTGAATTATCGACCGAGGTATTTAGGATAAGAGATGAATTAGTGTTACGAAGGATCACATTAAATTGTAACTGAGGCTATCTCAGGTAGCCATAGTTTGGCAGACTGGTGTCACTGACGCTCACTGATGATTGTGAAGGTGAAATGAAAAACTAGGTAGTGGCAAGATATGAACTAAGCTACCTCCTGTTTACCGACCTGATGCTCTGTCAAATGAACTGCAGTGATGTATTATTCAGCATAAAAAGCTCTGTGTTTCATCTTTTTGTTTTGCATCCTAAATCTGCGATCATTTTTAGATGTATGAGTGCAAACTAAATACCTAATTTTTATGCTTTGAAGTAAATACTTCATTTCCATTGTTGCTTGTTTTTATTGTCCGTCTTGATGATGTAGTCAGAAAAACAAGAAGTCTTAAAAATTCGAAATTACATGTTAGCTAAATTTAAAGAAGATGAACGTTTAGAACAAGAAGAATTGCAAAAACGTCGTCTGAAACAAATGGAATTCGCCAACGAAGCGCATAAATTATTGATTGAAAAACGTCAGCGTATAATGCAAGAATACGAACGAGCGAAAAAAGAATTGAATGAGGAGAAACAGCGTGTATTAGCAGAGAAACGTTTAGTGGAAGAAGAAAGACAGCATATATTAAGACAACATGCTAATAATTTATGGAATCATTTGCCGAAGGTAAGTGGTCTGAACTCACAGATATTTTGACTTATACTACTTGTAGCACTATTTAAGTAGACAAGAATAAATAACTAAACAATCATAGATTTTCAGTTCCAAATTAGCCAGAATATAAAACAAAGCGGAAACAAAAAATGCATCAAACCTTTTTGTCAATGTATTCGCTATCTTGTAATAATTATCTCTTTCATCCTTTTTGTTAATTACTGAGTCTTCGTTGTCAATGAATTTGAGGCATTTTGTATACACACAGTTAAATCACTTATGTTTAACTGGAAGGACAGATAAAAAATTGGACGACGTCACCGCATGTTTACAACAGTTTAGACAATGCGTTTGTATGCTGAAGTTTCTAGCAGTAACCAAATGAAAAAAGTAAATCAAAATCTACTCACCAATCACTTGTATGTTCGGGAACTAAGTAATGAGCCATATTTATTGTGACCAAATTAATTATCTATACGACAGTATATGGCATTTTCAAAGTGATAGTTTTGTATGACTATAGTTTCGCTCCGAAACAGTTATCTCAATATATGTAGGAATACATTTCTTTTTAATGATTTAAGGTTTCCAACTTTCATCATTGTTTTATCGGGATTTTTTATGTTCACAAATCATAATTTTTTTCTTCTGAATTAATAAGAAGCAATTCAGATGACATCAAGAATTAACCTCGAAATGCTTACTTATTTCCTAAGAGGTAGTTAAATGAGGTGCTTAAGTCCTACCACCAGGTGTTAAAATCATTCATGGAGTATATCAACCCAAAGGTTTAGCAGGGTATCTAGGAATTTGATACCGAAGGTTTTGTTGCTGTTCTCTTCCACAGGTTACCTAGTGTCACTGAACATTTAATTATTTCTCAGATATTCATTATTGAAATTGACTTAACAGGTTAGGAATACTTTGTTAGCCCTTGTCATCGTCTTTGGAGAGAAGAGTTATATTAAACTTAGTGGCTGTTTCACACCCAACTTCACCTATGTTTAAACCGACACGAGAAATACACCTGGAATACACTTCTATGTTTATTTGTAAGCCTCATTTTTTCAAGAATTGATAAGCTCCATCACAGTAGTGCAGATGCATCCACTCCATCTTTTTCAGACTTTAAACAGTTTAACAACCGTAAATTACTTCCTGTATCCTTTTCTTATACTTTTGTCAGTTTCACTAGCTATCTTTTACCATTCGCTTCCTACTTCTGCACTGCCTTGTAACGTGACAACATGAATTAATGCATTTCTGTGCAAAGCTCTTTTCTGATTTATCTGTCCACAAAACTTCAGCCTCTCAAAATTCGTAGAGAATAATCACCCCTACGAAAACACAACTGATACAATTTTGCGGTCATATCTAACTTTGATGAGGATTGTATGCCGTAATGGTGTTTAAAAGTAGAACAAACGGTAAGAAAGTATGTGAAATAACTGAAGTCTTTACAATGAAATACCTAAGTGCGTAATATTTCACGCCAAACATCCATATTAAATTATCACATAAACTCATTATACCTAACTCCCTGAACTGTGAAAAGTTATTATTCGGTTGATAAGAATTAAGGATAGTAATGAACTCGAGAATGTAATTCATTACCTTTGTCAGATTCTTAATAATCTTTACATCTAAAACAAATATTCATCAGTTATCCCACTAACTTTCAGTTAGTGGACTGTGGTAAATCAATGCTGCATTAAGTTTGATAATTTGAGCGATAACAGTTAATATTAGGAATGATAGTAGTAATTATTAGAATATTATAAATGAATTTATATTAACTAAGGTGAATTATGTCAGGGGAAATCAATAGCTTATGCAAGCCTCCTCAATATGTACAAGTATTTATATCATTTAGCATACTGTAATTGCCTCATGAATGCTTAATGGACAGATGTAAGCATTTTTACATGAGATAACCGTTGATGTTCTGCACTACTCACTAATTTTTCAAGAAATACTGTTGATATAATTTAACAATCCGATGATTTTGTCAGTCAGTTGGATAATTAAAGTATGAATACTGTGCTTTTAGTTTGAAATAAGCACTTGCTGATGTTTTCAAGTCTTGAATGTGAAGAATGGTGATAATAGTCAACAACCACGTGCAGGTTCTTATAGTTGGTAATGAGAAACACCTTTTCCATTAGCTAATAATACTACCTGATTGTTCAGAATTTCTCAGGTGAAGAAAAGTTTGAAGCTGTAATACACTAGTTAAAACTTAAGTGTCTGAAGTAATGAGCTACAGCTGCACTTTGAGTTTGAAAAATATTAAACTATTATGTTTCACATTTAGGCTACAGATATTATTTCTTGACTAGTACTCATGCTTGACGAACTTACTGGCTTTGTTACTGTCGTACTTTCCTAGGTGGGATCCACCAATTCCATAGTTTTGACTATGGTGTAGTATCCTCGAATGTATCCATCCTCTACGTTTATATATCTTTGTGGGTGGTGAGTGGGTCTAGTCAGTTCCGCTAGAAGTTGATGGTTTATTGTACAAAACATTTTAATCCTAAGGTGGTTTGTAATATCATTTGATCATGTTCCCTGATTTGTTTTGCTTCTTCAATTAATACTGTGTTACGTAATAAACCCTGAATTCAGCTATATACTAAATGCCTCAAAGCAACATTAGTAAAGTTGTAAGTTCTTTAGGTTGGTTGATTGATTACAACTGATTTGTCAGTACGAGATTATCATCCTTAACAAATCAACTTTTGATGAAAGTTCATGAAACAACCTTAGTCCAACACACTAACCTTAGTAGTATTGAAAGATTATAGAATCAGAAATGAAATCTTAGATAATAGCATCATTCGAAACAACGGCCTCCAGATTACCGGTCCGCCACTCTACCGAATGTGCTACGAGGAGATATCGCCACATAGCTATTGTGATCATATTGAACAAACAGTTATACATTGCTCATTCACGTGACAGCTGGGAAAACCCACAAAGACTGAAGTGAAATCGAAATCTGACGAGCAGTCATTAACGAGTAACTGAACTGATAGAACACTAGAACAATGATCTGGAGGCTGTCGGTTCAAATCGTAACGTTTTCGCTTCAATTTCAATAATCACCTAGTCAACTCAAATTTTGAAGAGATGTATATTAGTGCGTTTTTTATTTCGATAGTACTATATTTGAATTTGGGTGTTCGTGGGATTTAGTGATTTTTCAGGTTGATATTCATCACGGAATGACATCAGCTGGAGGAACACTGGAAACCTAGGAGCATTGTACAGCTGTTTCCTTCTAGTATGGGACTCCCCAACAGTGCATACCCATGAACCCACGAGGATCATTTTGCGAATGAAATAAGTTAGTGGAAAATTATTCCGTTATTATAAGAAGGACTTTGATGAATTTGGCTTACGCAAGATATCTTCAATGTTAGGTTGAATTTCTTTCCCTTCTTTGACTTCTGTCCGATGAGAGGTATACCACCAAATCATCCCGTCCAGATAATACGAAACAATCAGTCAACCATTATAAACATGAGACTTGATAGTACTGTGTAAATATTGAAGTCGCTATAACTCAGATGAACACATTAAGGTCCAAGTTAGACAAAGCAGAAGACAAATACACAGAAACAGCAACATGACAAAGTTGTAAAAGGCTGTTGAATAAAAAAGCAGAGTCATTATCTGCTCTTTTGCTTCACTATCAAAACTTTCTCATCTGATTAATTAACTTTCATAGATTGAGAGATAAAAATAAATAATAGAGATTCTGGAATAATCATACAACGGTGCAAGTCATAGTACTTCACATTAGCACGTCAAGGTGGAAGTCAAGGTGAGAGACAAATAAATGAAAACATTGACATTATCACCCGACATAAAACGTCTTAAGACAGAGAGTAAAAAAATAGAAAGGCAAGATAGATGTATGATATCATGATTTAGATAAAGAATAAGCATGAAGATATCTGCGTCACGATGATCAGTTGCATTATATATTACCTAGCGTTGACAAACAGTGATTTTAAGCGTCTCATGAACACAGCCAGATAGGCGATATCTCCCCAATACGGCTTAGACTTGTACTCAATCGATATAAGCTTTCCTCCGATTTAATCTTAATTAAGTTAACAATGTTTAATGATGCAAATGGTGTATGATCACACATGGAGTACGTTTTGACTATTTATGCTCATGAAGGTTATCACACTCAACAAGTGACTTAACACTCCTCTTCCTTTTATCTAATGCTCCAAATATAATATGACAATATATTCATCATTATCACTTTTATTTTAACTTACACACAGGGTATATTCCAATCAAAAGAAGAATTTGAATCACTGAAACAGTTAACTGGTAAAAATTAGACACAGTTTCTTTGAAAATTCGAATGATACTGTATAAGTAATATATTTATATATAACTTAGGAATTATTTTCTTAACTTGATGATAATAATCATGATGTATAAATTTACGAAAATTAGTAATAAATCATTTTCACTTATAATTCTTTGCTTTTTATCAACCGTATAAGCGTACACAAACAATGATGGATTATTAACTTCAAGGCATCCTGTTGTTATATCTGTATCACAGTCTATTCGGTAATTTTTTTTGGATTTCGAAACACTTTAGAACTAAGGGAATCGTGAATAGTCCGGTATAGTACTGTTTATCTCAAAGTCTAAACTAATATCACTACATGCACATACGACAGCATATGCGGAGTTGTTGAATACTGTAAACAATCCATAAGTCATATGACCTCTTTTTGAATGACTGACTACTATAGGTCACAGTTCAAAATAAGCTACTTTTAATACCTGTTATAAAAGAAATTTTTTTGTGTTGGAAGCAAGCAATAAATCGACGAAATAAATGATACATTACAAGTAACATTTAAGGAAATGAGTCGTAAAGTGTATGCTGCAGTAATCAGAGAGAGATGTTTATCCCCTGACATAAGTGAGGACTATTTTCAGCTTGTAAATGCATCTTAAGATTTATTTCAGTTTGTTTATTAGATGTATCATACAACTGAACAATATTATTTACTGAATAACATTTCGAACACAATACATTGTCTACATTCATATCAAAGTAACTCCTCGGACTCTAGACATGATTTACATAGTTCTATAGTTGAAAAAGTAAAGATTTGGATAGATTAAGCGCCTATTTCAGATTTATAGAAAATCCTGCTACTCGTATTACAAAGGGTGAGAAGAAGTTAGAACTACATAAAACATATCTTAAAGTTGTGGAGTAATGTAATATGACTATGGATCCACTTTATGGGTCTAGAACGTTACGCAGTGTATAATACTTTCACTATATGATACATCTTATAGTCAAACGTAAGTGGAATCACAGTCTGTCACAGTACTCAGCATTTAGTTGGAATGAACACTCTGTTAACCACTTTAGACAATCGACTCATAACTGCATCTCCTAACAGATCACCAATGAATTCTAGTTCCAATGTTCTATAAAATCGTCTTAGAAATACGACCTACTGAATAGCTTTCGCATTTACTGTTATTAAACCTGAAAGAAAGGAGTAGTTCGAATTTAAAAAAGCATATTTTTAAAAGTATTTTAAGTACAAAATATCTCAAAGTTCTGTTTTCTAAGTAATCTTTTAAGTTTTTCAATTTTCTTTTATTTAAGTATCTTTCTATATCTTATCGTGCAGAAGTAACAGCAAATTAACTGTGAAGCATACTATACATCTTGTCGACATGACTTTTACTATATATATGTTTTATCGTGAGTTATGTACTTGCTTTTCTGTTGATAAAACCATGGAAATAGATTGAATGTACTAGAAAATAATTCTGTACATTAGTTATGTGTAGGAATAAGCTAGTAACCCACATGCCTGCGTAATATCATTGATACTGAGTGAGGACTGAAGGTGGAAGGAAAATTTAGGCCACAGTGGGGTTCGAACTAGCCATCACTAGGTTTCTGGTCCGGTACTCTGCCAAGTGAGCTACGAGTTCTAACTGTTGAACAGATTTCTACTTCCCTTCAACTACCCGGTGGTCACTTGTTCGAATCCCGCCGAGGCTCAAATTTTTATTTCACCTTCAATCATCATTAAGTATCATTACTAGTCTGCTACAACGCAGATGGTAATATCACCAAGGAAATAAAAAAGCACATTCACATGACTGTGAAAATGTTATTTAAGTTATAATCCATACTACTTTACTCAAGTTAAAAAGTAAATCTGTTGGCAAGATGTTTCCATTAGATTTTCAGGTTTCTTTATTTTACACAACATTAAATGCTACACACTCTATGCCCTGCAGGAAAGGGGATATATGACGTTTCACATCCCACGAACAACCAACCGTTATTAAGACTACGTTAAGTGATTTTTGCATCACCCCTATTTTTTTAGATAGATCAATTTTCTAATTTATTGTCATGTAATAAGAAACGTGATATGATTCCTGCTTTGAAACGAATTTTCTAAACAGATGGGAATAATTTAAAGTCTGTTTTAAAGGTCATTCAACCCAACCCAAGTATGTATCGGCGGCTTTTAACCAGGCCGTAACAGAAACAATGCTCTAAGGATAAATTACCAATGACGACCACTTTACTGCGAGTTATTCAGGCATTAATCAGAAGGCTTTAGCTTTATTCGCCCATCGATAGATACCAACTTGGTTTGCAAAATGAGTTACCAAACCTACTAATAATCCCGTTCAGTGGACAGTTGTCATCCAACTAAGACATCAAGCCTTTTTGGTGATGTACTGAGTACATAAGCATCAGCAATATGTAAAAAGTGTGGGTACTTTTTTGCACAGATAAAGCTAAAGGAATCAATAGGACAAAGCAGAATTTATGTACCCAGAAGAAAAGCATTCACACCCAATCATTGTGAAGCTAGTACAGTGCTAAGTCACTGTTAGTCATCACATAGATATATTATTGACACTACAATTTTTTCGTCTTTGCGCTCTCCTTCCACTGTGTTATTTTATTGAAACAAGATTTTGATATTTTCCATTTTGGTGGTACTATTACCCTTGCATAAAGCTACCTATCCCCTTTTGCTACCACATTCACATAAGATTTTGTACTACTGATTATAACTCATCCCTTGAAATCTTCATCTGTTCATATTATGTACTCTAATATATATATATATATATATATATATATATATATATATATATATATATATATATATATATATATATATATATATATATATATATATATGCATAAACAGACTTGCTGTTGGTTGTGTTGTCTGAAGTGAGTTGTTTAATCGTGAAGTTTTCATTATCTTTCTCAACAATATCATCATCAATGACTTTAATCTGAAGTGAGCTATCAATATCTCTGTTTGTATGATTCAGTAGCTTGTCTTAACGAACTGCTATGATTAGTGGTTTTCGTTCATTGGTGTGTCATTGACTGCACAGATTTTTCTGTCTGACCTCTGACCTCGTTGTTGTTTATCATTTTTCTTATTCATTGACAGATTGGGTCTATGTCTATGCATTTATTGACTTCTGACTGATATGAATGCCGGGCTTCTAAGAATTCTCTGATATTCGTTGTTTTTCCCCTGTCCAAGGTTTCTGAACTTTCAAAATTGAATTCATGTCTAAAGTTATCCATGTGCGTTGATCTCAGTGATGAAATATCGTGACGTTTAATAGTTAATTGGTGTTCATGTAAACGAAGGAGAAGAGGGCGACCGATTTCTCTAATTTAGTATTGATCTAAGTTATTGCAGCTGATTTTGTAAATGATATTTAGTTTCTATTCTTTGGCTGTTGCATCCTTTGGTCTGCTTAATATGCTTTGAAGGGAATTGGTTGACTAATGAGCCACACTAATTCCAAATGGTCTGAGTAATCTTGTCATAAACTCTAATATATTCTTTATGTATGGTACGATGATCCGTTTTTTGATTTGTGTGAATAACTTTGTAGTTGTTGATGAACGGCATAAGCATCTTCTGATAAAGTTTCGTGAGTGACAATACTTCTTTAGGATAGATATAAAGTACTTTTCTTCGTGAAGTTGTTCTCACTCTTTTAAATAGAGTCTGTACGCAAGTAATTTTGTGCATTGTTGGTTTGTTGATACTGTTATTGATGATTTAATTGGTGTGCGTTGACTTCGTGTACAGACTTGTACTTACATCCTTGTATCATAAACTGTTGTCTATAGTGTCTGTATTTAAATCATAATTAGACGTAAACACACTGAAATTTTTTTTAAAAACCGGTTGATCATATCATTACAAATGCATTCGATTCCATCTATTCTTTACGTTGGTTATCTTGTAACAGCATTAATAGATCACATGAATCCCCGAATCCTAGTGGAACTCGTCAATTGGGCAGTATACACCCTTTACTGTGTTTACTTTCACACAATACACATACATGTAACACAAACTGAAACTTACGACCATAGAAATGAATAATCTAGTTGGAGGGGATTTTCATAGTGAGTAGATTAAAGGTAAGTTACAACATTATGAACAGAATAGTTAGTAGGCGGGTAAGAAGCTTGGTAAGCTTGGTACACTTATGAAGTTACAAACAAATGAATTCACAACAGAAGTAATAATAGTAACAGTGGTAATAGGAATGGGGTTCATTGAAGGAAGTAGGTCGAATGAAAAACAAACATGATAAAAAAAATTTTAAAAACTTGTCACCAGTCCGACCTTGTATCTCAGTTGGTGGAGCACCGGGCCGGAAACCCTGTCGTCACCGGTCCGAATCCCACCAAAGTCTAAATTTTCACTTCACTTTCAATCATCACCAAGTATCAATACCAATCTGCCAAACCATGGCTACCTCAGATAGTTAAAATGATAATCAATATGACATGCCCTCTCTTTAGTTCAGTTAGATTAGGACTGAGATGAGAAGTCCTGATTTGGCAGCCAGTGTGAGTACGATCAAGTCGTAGTAACACGTCATGAATTCATATGGCAGTCAGGCAAAATTCTTGGTGACTGGAGTGAAATAAGAAAATCTGGTCAATTCTCGGGTCTAGCAGATCAGTTAGTAGAGCATCGGGCAGGAAACGCAGTGGTTGCTGGTTCAAATCACACCACGATACAAATTTTTATTTCAACTTCAATCATCATCCAGTATAAATTTGATAAATACAAATCACTACCATTACATATAGCCAAAACAAACACAAACGATGAATATACATCTGATATACATACGATTGTACAGCTTTTGAAAATAGATTCGTTGAAAAACATTTCCTTTGTTGAACTATTTGTTCTATGAATTAATGGGTATATTCAGTATAAAATAGAAGTAATGATTAGAAGTAAATATAAGTAAAAACAGATAGGATTACACTGCACTGGATTTACCATCATGGCAGATCCAAACAAATCATCATTCTCTTTTCTACTCGGAAGCTTGGTTTGACAATTGAAATTCCATAGGTTTCTGCAACTCTAAACATGCTTTTGTTTGACTGTCTGTTAATCACTTT